CTGTATCAGAAATAGTGTGGCCAGCAGGAGTAGGGAGGTGATCGTGCCCCTGTACTGGGCACTGGTGAGGCTGCACCTCGAATATATGTGCAGTTTTGGGCCCCTCACTACAAGAAGGACATTGAGGTGCTGGAGAGGGTACAGAGAAAGGTGACGAAGATGGTGAAGGGTCTGGAGAACAGGTCTGATGAGGAGCAGCTGAGGGAACTGGGGTTGTTTAGCCTGGAGAAAAGGAGGCTGAGGGGAGACCTTATCGCTCTTTACAACTATCTTAAAGGAGGTTGTAGTGAGGCCGGTGTCAATCTCTTATCCCAAGTAACAAGCAATAAGACAAGAGGAAATGGCCTCAAGTTGCACCAGGGGAGGTTTAGATTTGACATTAGGAAAAATTTCTTTACTGAAAGAGTGGTCAAACATTGGAACAGGCTGCCCAGGGAGGTGGTGGAGTCACCGTCCCTGGAGGTGTTCAGAAAATGTGTTGATGTGGCACTTCGGGACATGTTTAGTGGGCATGGTGGTGTTGGATTTACGGTTGGACTTGATGATCTCAGAGTCCAACCATAATGATTCTATAATTCTGTGATTCAGTGATTCTATGGTCTTGTTCCTGGTCATTTCTGCTCTCATTTTCCTCCACTCCATAGGGATTGCTCTCACCAGAGCCTCTTCTCTGTTCCTCTAGCTGCTGCCTTACTCCTGCCTGTCTCTTTTCTCTTTACTCTTGCAATAGGGCACCAAGCCCCATTTCACATAGTCTCTTGTTTCCTAGTTCTTAGAAGAACCAGTCTACCAACCCCCCTCTGACTCCCCACATCTCAAAACCTTTTCCAGATCCCAATCTTTTCTTCTTGTTCAGAAGCTCCTTCACAGCTAACCTTTAATCAGGCTATCACCAAATATCGCCCCATTTGTCAGACATAACAGTCCAAGATCAAACCAAGAAGGCATCAGATAGATGCAAATTTCCAGTCAGACAGATCCAAAATCCCAGCTCACTTTTAAGAACTGGCATATTCTGTGAAAAGCATGAAAGAATATCTTTCCTAATACTCTTCTGCATTCTCCCCTTGTAGCTGATTTTGCCTTGTGCTCTTTCTGTAGCATAAGCCAGAGAAAGGATGCAGAGAGAGAACTCTATTCCTGGAAAAAAAACAAGTGCAATTCAGGATTGCCAGCATGAGTGAATGTAAGCCATAGCATTGTGTTACATTGATATGGTAAATTCTTGTGGCAAACAGGAAAACCCAGTGCTCTCTCAGCAACAGCAGCACTTGTGGGCTATGAGAAAGGGGTGATCTCAATTTGGCAAGCATAAGCAATATTGAAAAATTACTTATTTGGACATTAAAGAAAACTATTCAAAGATGATAAAAGTACATATGCTATTGATGAAAATAAATTTTATTTTGACTGTTTTACTTAACTGCAAATAATTAACGGTAGTGGATAATGACCTGCATATGCAAAATATTGGTCAGGAGAAGCTTACACACTAAATTTGTTTAAAAATCTCACAGCCTGCAGAAACAGGAAGAAGATAATTCAGTGCCTGCTGCACCTTATTCCTCTAGGGCCAATGCAGATTTGACTTTACAGCTTTACTACGCCTTACAGCTTTGAAATTTAGCTAATATCCAGCTGACACAGCATAAAATTACTTAATTGTGTCTGCAGACCAATGAATGTACTTCAAGCAGAGTAGAAAACAAAAACACAAGCTAAGACACCTCTAGAATAAACTTGTTTGTATTTTATTTATACTTAATAAAACTGTTTATACTTTATCAGCATGCTGCTCCTGGCTGTATGCTGGATTTTTTTAGGTTATGTGGTAAAAACTTGTCTACACACCCATAGAGGAGTACAAAGAGACAAGGGCAAGTTGGGGCTCCCAACTAATGTCCTGCCCTGGCTGCTCCCAGGACATTCCAGGAGCCATCAGCCCATCAAAGGCCCAGCTTCACAAGCCCAGAGGAGCACAGGGACACAAAGGTAAACAGGAATCCAAATTAAGGACAAACAGGCAGGGACACACTGTCCTGACCCCTCCCAGGCCTGGCCCAGAAGAACCTCAGCCCCTGTGTCAGAGCATCAAGATGAGTGAATGCTTTGGACTGAAGGAGGTTGCTACCCCAGGGTAGGGGATACATTATGGGACGTGGGGGAAGAGCATTTTGGGGTTTCACAGGACTTCTTGTGGGTTGTTCAGTGGGAAACCAAACATTGGAAAAGGGAGGGATTTAGGTCATTTGGGGAGGAACAAGTGTGGGAAAACAGAGGGGTAAGGGGATAAAAAGTTCTGGTCACGTGTAATGGTTAGCTGGTCAGTTTGCTTGGCTGGCCATGCTCTGTGCCTGACCAGGGCTATCTGTGCTGATCCTTTCTAACTCTTCTCTGGGTGATGGATTTCCATTCTGTGCGTACAGGGGCCTAAGTGCTACATCTGAGGTCATACCATGGGTTGGAGGGCCCGTGTGTCACTGGTGCAGCAACTGGAGCACGTGGGGGAGGATGAGTGAGTGTGTGAGTGCTAGCAAAGATCAAGTTGGATAAGCTGATAAGCAGGTGACATGACCTGGCAGCCAGGACACGAGTGGTCTCTAAGGGTAACACCATGGTGGGGTTGGCTACTGGGGGACAAGGGAGTCCAGGCCAGTGCGTACATAAGATGGTCTGTACCAGCAACTGGAGTGGGGCTGTAGCCTCGAGGGGTCTACGACAATCCTTCGCAGGGACAACTCTGTGTGGGT